TAGTTTCCAATCACCTTCTCAGAAGGTATGTGGATCCGTAGGGTATATTGACTTATGATATAGATACTGATATAGATATACCTATATATTCATTTATGTTTGTACATGATACACGTTTTTTTTGCTTTTGGTTGCGGTGCAGAAGAGATTGGAACATAGATTTCTGGTTGAAGTACCCTAGCTGAAGAAAACTCTCAGCTCATACGAAGTTGCATTTCCAAAGCCAGCCCTCACCTGAGAGCCAGAAAACATCGCTGGAAACGAGTATGGTACATATATATACAGTATATATATTATGAATATGACGGAATCCATTGGAGGTGGTGTGGGTCACAAGGATCCTCGCCCACTGCTGACTGAGATGGACCCGGAAAACCGGTGACTCTTCGGTCCATGAACCAGATGGGTCAAGACCTTTGGGAGGGTAGATGCACCTAGTGGTGCTCCTCAAAAATGGGCTATCAAGAGGAGTAATGGCCCGTATGAAATGCAGGTGTACAAACCAGAAAGCTCTATATATATATATATATGTATGTGCTAACTACAATAGTAGACGGACTTAGACCGAATAGAATAGCATCTGTATATGTCTACATATGTTGATACTGATATTGCCCTGACGTGTCATTTTCCGATGTTGTTGTCTCCATCCCTAAGTCGTCCGACCGACGAGTCCGTCGCGAGTCGCGAGTCGCTCGCCAGGCCATGGCAGAGCTACAACGCAAGCAGCAAGGGCTAGAACAGCAACTGGCCAGTGTCAGGCCCGGAGGCATTGGGTTCTTAGACGCCAAGGGCGCCGCAGAAGGAATGCATGAGCCATGAGTTAGGGTCGCCATCCGGGTCCAATGTATCGGCTTGGGGTCGGGATCCGCAAGAATGGTAGAGATCAAGCTTTGGAACCCATGCAACATCTGGCTCCAGTCTCTTTCAGATTGAAGGAATGAATCCAATCAATTGCGCGGCTTGCGCGGCCATGCTCGAGGGTCCATTCTTTTTCAAGATGTCCATCCTTTGACGGTCCAAGAGTGTTTTGAAAGATCTGGGAGTCCATGTGCATATCTTTAAACCATGGACCACGAGTCGGTCGTCTACAAGCACTATATTCACTGGACATGTGCACAAGCTCTCTGGCAGTCATGCCATAAGTCATGTCAATGGCCATGAGGCCATGCTCGAGGTCATGCTAGTGGCCCTGTATTTCGGACTCAGGAAGAAACGATGAGGATCCGGTGGTTTATAGATGATAGTTTTGTCGCCGCGGCAGCAACTCGTGAAGCATCCGGACCGTGTGGTGGGTGATGCGTCGTGAGGCAACGCTTGAATCAGGGCGAACAGCACTTGCACTGGACTCGTCAGCAGCTGCAAATGCAGGCCCAGAGAGTTTGGAGTGTGAACTGCTAGAAGCGTCCTCCCAAAGAAACCGAGAAAAGGATCAAAAAATGCACGAACACGAGTTATCAACGACGGTATCTTCGACATGCTAATAGGTGAAAGGTGACAATCCATCTTGCACAAGCTCTAGTAGCTGCATGCTGTAACACTCCCATGCCTGAGCTCGTTAGGAGTCTGGCCCCAGCACTCGTGCAAGAGCTGAGGCAGATTGAATTGAGCACTGGAGGGGGGAAAGGTCTGGGGAAGAAGGGTCATTTTGCAACCCCCGGAGAAGACTGGCAAAGATTTAGGTGTTGTGGGGAAGCTTCGTTAAAAAAAAAGGGCCCCTCAACACCTGCAGACAAAAGGAAACTCGTACTCGTGAACTTGCAAGAGACGTCTTCTGGCGTCTTCGGTACAGACCAGTCTAGAGAGTTCATGGCAGTTGATCAGGTGAAACAAAGATGCCTACGACCGGCGTTTTGAAGCATGCACAACGCCCGACGAATGTCTCAGTTGCCATTTTTGGGCAGCGAGCCAACCAAAAATACACACTCCCTGAAACAATAATGGAAGTGGATGCCAAGGCCCCGAAAGCATCAAGGCTAAAAGAAACTGCAGTTTGCCGCTGACTGAAGGGGTGACAATAGAGACAAACAGGAAGGAACATTGATAAGACTTGTGCAACGGATTGATGGAAGAAAAACAGGGACAGCCAAGGGACATGCATGAAAAGGAGAAAGGACAGCATAAGCAAAAAGGAATAAGGAACAGTAGCGGGGCTATGTGGCTATGTGATATGTTTTATCATTTATCATGGTTTGTCAGCTATGTGAGGTATGTGTTATAATGCTTTGTCTTTTGTATGTTGCAAGCTTTTGTTTGGTGTGGGTGATGGGTTTAAGGAGGAACCCTTTCAAGTTGGGTTCGCCCCATGCATCTTTGTGTAAAACACAAACGGATATGCACATGTTGGCAGACATGTTCCGACCGGCCACGCATTTGTTTACGTGTTTGCATACGGTCGCAGCGTCCCAGTAGGGGGGCCAGTACAGCGGTCGATGAAGATGATCACGATTTCTCGGAAGGGCCTTGACCAACCAGCATCATCCACATGATCCTCACTGTTAAGCGTGGACCCCCATCCAAAAGACATCTTGGAGATTGTGCCATCTACGCTGAAACCACTGGTCAATGGGATATGCCAAATGTTTGCACATCTTCCTTGTCGCTGCGCTGCTGAGGTGGAACGCTTGGACCGTGCCATTCAACAGGCCATGGCATCCTTCGCCTTCCGGTGAGCCGGTTGTGGGGCTCCATGAGAGGAACCCATCAGAGGCACATGTGGGTATCTGTTTCAATCAGGGTCAGCCAATGGGTTCTGACTTTGTTGTTTTTGGATGCACATATATGCATTTGGAGGTTTTGTACCGTGTTCTCTTGTGTCGGATGATCCCATTCTTCAGCACGGGCAGCATCCGGCAGCATCTCCCGTTCGCGCCGTTCGCATGGGAAAACGGGGTTCACAACGGCGCCAGGCCATGGACCAGGACGCCTCGTTGACGAAACAGCTGGAGGCCACACGAGTTTTTTTTGGTGCCATGCAAGAGGAAGAGGATTGAAGAGGTCATTTTTTTCTTCACCTGCAGGTGGAGGATTGAGGATGATTGAGGGTTTCAGTGGATGATGAATGTCACAAAGCCAATGGGAGTGGCTGCCACTGACCTCCAGTCGGGTTTGAGGGATCAATGCAGGCCGGCATGTATACCTAGAACCGTCGTGAAGCCATTGGACCTAGGAAAAGACCATATTTTGGATAGTTGATCTTCCAAGAATGGAGGTCACTCAGGTTCTGGGTAGTGTATATCTGGCGTGTTTGGGAGAGTCCTGGCGGCTGGTCGTGCGGGTAGTGGGCCGATGCAGGCTGAAGGAGGCCAAACAAGTATGGCCTCAGGTTGGGCGATCAATCTTGGAGCTTCAGGAGTGGTTGATGGTCTACGAGGTGGCTATAGGCATTCCTGTCTGGTCAACTTGGGCCTCCTGGATGCATTTTTTGTGTCACTTCATCTGACAGAAAACGTCAGGCTCAGCAGGGGCCTCGCCACCTCAAAGCTGCGATCGCGACCCCGGCTTCGCCTCAAGCTGAGCCTCAAACTTTGCATCAGAGGTCTGGGAGTGAGATGCTTGTGGTGCGAAATGCATCAGCAGCAGCATGGAGTTGGGCTTGTTCCTCTATAGAGACTGCACACACACACAAAAAAATAGAACGGACACATCTCGAAACTGGCAAGTATTGGCAAGTGTTTCTTTTGAACCTTTCCTATTGAATTCATGTGTTGCTTCTTTGAAGCAACTTCTTTCCGCGGCTTCACTCCTGACATCTCCTGACCTGAGTGGGAGGCCCTTCCAAACAGATGGCTTTCAGCAGATCCAGCAGAAGCTCCTTGGCCCAACTTGCTAGTCGCTGGAGGATCTCAAGCTATCTCAAGGTTCGCCCGCAATGCTTGGACCGAATTGGCTTTGGAAAAGCACCGGCAGTTGAACAACTGGAGGCATCTGGGTTTGTTTTGGCATCCATGGTTTTGGTCGATGAAACACTTAATGAATTGGATGTGTGCACGCCTGAGCAAAGTCACTCATGTTCTTTTGATGTTTGTTTTGGTAGCCTGACACAACAACCTTTTGATCCTGGATCTGTAGCACTGGGAGTTGCGCACTTGGCGCGCATGAACTTCTCCGGGACCGTTCAAAAAACCTCGAAGACATCAGCTCCCGACACTGTCATCGTTCTGCTGCAGAACATTGTGGGATCGACGAAGTGCATCACTAGGAATGGAAGTGGACTCGCCATGTGAACATCGCCATATGGCTCTAAAACTTCACACAGATAGAAGCTAACCGTTAACCACAGTCCAGATCCAAGTACCTTCTCAGGTACTTGGAGACACTGTCATCTATGTTTGGAGGGTCCAAGTACCTTCTGAGAAGGTACTTGGATCCCTAGGGATATGTGTTTGTGTATTTTTTCTCTTTTTGAGGACCATGCATCCCACCCCACGCATCCCCATGCCCCTGTCAGAAAAATTATCAAGTTCCCATGGTAGTTCGGGCGGGTTTGTATTCAAAGGAGATGTTTCTTCTTTGATTCCACCCCTCCTTGCCGAGGTTGGACAGCCACATCCATCGCTTGCAGCAACACACCGACCAGCTCCGGAGCAGCGTCGATTTGCCAGCACACCCTGACAAGCGCACAGGCGTCGGTGGAGTCGAGTAAAAAGCATGTCGTCTTAGACTGTAGTCAACCCCATTCATTCACCACGGACCTAGTCAAGGCTCAGACACCAAGTGTTTCGGTCGCTTTTCCTCCACAAAAAAAGGTGATTTCGGTGTCGGAGTCGATTTCGCTGGGGGTCTCGGGTGTCGCGCCGAGTCGCGGCGACTTCGGTGGGGGTCTGTAGAGGATCGAGCGCTGTTTCAGCGGTGGGCGGGAGACCGGCAGGCAGGCGGTCTCTCGGCCAAAAGTGGGGTCCATATAGGCGGTCTTCCATATAGGCGCATCTTCCCGGGTGTGTAGCAGTGTAGCTGTTGAAATGAGGATTTGCAGGAGAGTTGGGTGGTGAGCAGTGGTGAGCTTTCTTGGAAGTGGTTTTTCTGGTTGCCTTTGCCGCAGGTGACATCACATCGCTAATGTACCACAACCAGACCCCAGGTCTGGGCGCGCAAAGACCGCGGTGAATGGAAAAAGTGCCCCAGGTCCGGATACCACGCTCAAGGTTGGCCACGGAAGGGTTGGTGATTCAGAAGCCCCAACCGTGTGGGACTTGATTCCACTTGGATATACTCCCGAAAACTAACATAGACCCTGACAATGGCCCTCTGGAAGAGTGTTTTCCTCTACCAACCAGTGGTTTTCAGGGTCCATGTTAGTCTTCCAGGGTGTAGGTCTTTTTATTGGGACCAACGTCATTGGATGTTAGGAACTCCAGGAAGGTGGACTGCTACTAGCAGAAACTCCACACTCCGTGTGGGTCCTTTGGTCAACAGGTACGACCAGATACGATTGGTAGTTTCAGCTCATGCGGTTCATCTCTTAGCCTATGGCTCCAGAAGTGGGCTGGTTGCAGTCCAAACACCGTGGGACAGACTTTGGATCAGGATCACTGCAGTTTTTAGGAACCCTGTTTGATGCTAGGCTATACAGCGTAAATGTCCACCATCCTGTAAACAAGTTGCGTACGTGGGGATTGTTGTTCAATGCCATGTCCCGGAGCAATGGTTTTTCGACCTTCCAATCACTTCCGATTCTTTATGTCCAAGAAAGGCCCCAAGGGTGATTGAATGCGCGAGACCCCCTTTTGGTTGCACAAGGCCACCAATATAAAGATGCTCGAACACTTATAGACGTTCTATGACGTTCACTTGGTGCTCACCAAAGGCCAAAGAACGCAACTACCAGGCTGACGAACTTCGACCGTGTCTCCCCTCGACCCACTGGTCATTTTGGCGCCCACTGAGCACTTCGGAAGTATGGCTCAAAATGTGGCACGTGCCACTTGGCCTTGCCAGAACACATTGAAAAACGCACAGGGCTGATCGCCCGATGTGGCACAGATATCCCGATTTTCTGAAGAGCTGGAGGTAGCAAGCAACACCTGAGAGCATGCTGCTAGCACCCAAGAAACCAACGCCTCAAGTGAAGAGCTGCTTGCGACGAAGTCCTGCTATCTAAGTAATAGTTTCTTGATGCTATTGAATCATTTAGGCATAGATTGGTAAGCACACAGAAGCCTAAGGATCAAAGACCAATCAAACTAACATTTGGAAGCCCAACCTTTGTTTTCGTCCGGCTCCGACCTTCGAACTGTTTGCCGAGTCCTGTCAACGCAGTCCATGCGGAGTAGACCTACGCCCGTCCATGCGGACCGGTGAATGCTTCGTTCAACCTAAGAACTGCTGGGTCCCCCCACATACCATCCATGACCCATACTGTATACAAGCACAAAGCATATCAAATCAGATCAAATCTCATGCCTGGAAAAAGAGGACCAAACTCAGGAACAACAAAAACATGCAAAAAAGAACTCGTGACTCCTCTCAGTGCTTTACCACCACCCACCGTCAACCCACCGTCACCCCTTCGTCTTCCCTACCGCCCCGGGTGCGTCATGGCGACACCGCTGGGTGCATCAGCGCCGCTGGGAGCGCCAGCGCCGCTGCTCTGGAGCTCAGGCGATGGAGCTCGGTAGACATCGAGGGATAAAACATGATCAACCCCCCGTGGGTGTGACGAGATTGTGGAAAGCAATTTCATTGCATTTCAATGAGTTTAAAACTTTTTGGTGTTAAGAGTCTACACTATAAGCAAGTAGAGCTGTAGAGCTCTCACAAACGGGTGCAGTTGGTGGCTGGGAATGGGTTTACAGACGCTCCTGGGTTCTTGAATTCGGGCGGACAACACGTGAAGAGAAGGTGCTTGCCTCTACAAGCCAAAACAGTTATTAAGCAACCGAGACGTTATTTTTGTTCACTTCCATTCAAGAGGTGGTACTTGCCAGGGCGATTCACTGTCCCCGGCCTTGTAGAAACCGCACGAGACTGGTCGTGTGGAGGTGGGGGTGGTTTCTTCGAAGCCATCGGCGCTTCACGGAACGATGGTCCAGCGAGCGTTTCAACGCCTTACTTTCCTTGCGGGTCGCGCAGAAGCCAAGAAAAGACGGAAGTGTAGGCTTTGGCCACCTGGAAGGGAACATGTGAATACATGTGCCTTGCGGATGTTCATGGATTGTCTATGGGTATGTCCAGTGGAAACAGGTGAGTGTGTGAAACCTGGCATACCAGGTTTCGAGATACCAATCACAACTGCACAAATCACACAACGATTCGGACCCCGGCGCCTGCACCAGGCCCTCAGCCGCACCATGGGCGACCCGTTCTCCCCAGGCGGGGCACACGGATCTACCCAGGCTTCAGACGGCGAAGACTACACCCGGGAAGATTAACATAGAACCTGAAAACAACTGGGTTGTAGAGGAAAGTAGTCTTCCAAAGGTCCATTTTCAGGTTCCATATGGTTCCATGTTAAATCTTCCCCGGGTAACATCAACTCCCAAAACCACTTGGCCAAAGCAGTCCTTCGGGGTGCTCGACCCGGGTCGAAAGTCGAGTGTCTTCGGCCAAAAACGCCGGAGTGTCTTCGCCCTGAAGCCACCGGGCGCCCCTAAAAACCACGCGCATCTCTGAACCCCCCAAAAACCCAAGAATTCCTTTCCACACAAGGGTGAACTGATAGGCATCTCCTCCTGAGCGACGTCGACCTACGAAGGGGGCGCGGCTGAAACCGCGCCGCCGCCGTTGAAACCGCGCCGCCGCCGTTGGGTTCGGCGTTGGCACCGTTGGGTTCCGCTGGGTCCTTTTCACCTCGTCTCATCGTCGGTTTGGTCGGGAACCACGTCGAGATGGATTGCCTTCGAGCGCCTTTGGGCAGCTCGTCTCGGCTCGAAATCGGTCCAAAGTCAGACCTTCCGGCTGATGACGCCTGGGCCGCTTTGGCACATCTTGCTGATAGGCACCCTGCTTCTGTTGAGCCTACTTCTGGAAGGCTGCAAAGAGTACAGCGACACCCAAGCCGCCAAGGATGAGGTGTGCTTTAATGTCACTTGCCCTTCCTATTGCCTCACGTGCATTGACCAGAAGTGGGACTTTTATACCAAAATGAATCGGGAAAAATCGTTTGAAACGATGAAAATGTGCGGCTACGACCAGAGAGACTGCGACGAGGCTTAGCCTATAGAACTGACGGCCTTGGGGCGCGCCGAGCTCGCCAGCTCGGGATTCAGTGATCTGGAGTTCGTTTGACCTGGCCTTGTGGAGCTTCGGAGTGGAAAGCAACCTGGAAACCCACTGCGATTCAATACATGCCCTGGCTTGGCATTCACAGGTCGCCTGCCTTGTACCATGGCTGGCCAAGCCACCATGTCAGGACCATGAGTGTGCAGGGAATGAAAAGGAGCCGCGATCAACGACAAAAAGGGGGATTGACTTGGCTGTTTTTTCTTCGGGATTCTTCGCTTGAGGACGCGGAGGGGTCGGACTCTCCAGTGGGTCCGCATCCGAACCAAACCCGACTCTCAAGGAGGATGAAAACCCCCGCTGTTGGATTCTCAACCGACCGTGGGACAGTCGATGTGCTGATGCCGCAGCAGATCTGCGGCATGATTTTGGCCGCGACACTGGTGTTTTCGTTTCCCGGAAATGTGGCATGATGTGAGAATCAAAGCTATAACTTCGCCAACCTTGGGTTTTAGAACCCTAAGGCCCTCAGGTGGGTTTTCAGGCGAGGCTTGCAAGTGTTTGGCTTAGTTGTAGCTAATTGTATAAGTAAAGTGGATCATTGTGGTTCTAAGTGTCAGTGCGTGTGAACAAGAACATAGTCCAAAACACACAAGAAAGCAATGTTTATTCAGCTTTACTAAGAGTGACATATAGACTTGTCACAAACTTCAGAGAGCTTTTAACCGTTCAAATAGCAGCACAAATCTACCAAAGAAACAGCCGAACAAATCTATTCAGTCAAGAGAACCACTATAAGTGTAAAGCAAACATCCCACTCAGCGGCCTGAAGCCTAAAGTTATGATTCTGACGTGGTCTCCACGATTTGAAATCCGAATTTCAGATTTGATGCCTGTTTCTTGAAAAGCAGTTTATGTTTGAATCTGAAACTGAATCAGAAAATCTGGCACTTCTGACTGTCAGCCAGCACTATTTTGTTCCCTGCTGTGTTCACTCGAGTGTTTGGATGGGGAGGGGTTTGAACGGACTTGACATGTTAGCAAAAGATAGAAAAGGTTTGCAAGCGACCAAGCTCAAAGCTTAGCTAATATAGTTACCTAAACTTAGCTAAAGTCCACTAAACTTTGATTGGACGTAGCTTAGTTTATATCTCTATCTAAATGTCATTCAGTAAATTGGCTAACCAGAGTTCAAAGTGTTGTTTACTCTTGCAGGGCAAGGGATACGTAATCTTAGCCAAGCCCAGGCCCCACAAGTGACTTGGTAGTAGGAGGGTCGTAGCTGGATGACTTCTGCCTGGCAGGTGGTCCAACCACTTGAACGGGCCAGCCACCCTCGTCCTCACCACGGTCGCCACACGCGCTACGTGCGGGGTGCGCGGGGCGGCACGCCGCGCACGCAAGAAGGCGGCATCAGATCTGCCAGAACCACCTCCATTGCCAGACTTGCCACCCTTGCCGAAGAGGCACGGACAAAGCTGGCACCACTCAGCAGCTTCACTTGGACCCCAAGACTGTTATTGAAGACAGCATGTTTCCAGGGTTCAAAGGGTGGATTAAGCTGGTATAGACTTCATAGACAGGTTGGTTAAGCGCAGTGGTCCAGCTGGGAGTGATGCTGGGTCCGAGTCGGAATCGCAGGACAAGTGCGAAGGCCAAAGCAAGTGAAGCAGAGGAGAACCACGGAGTGGAGCACTGAGGCATGAAGAGACAGAAGACTTGAAATCAAGTGACGTTCCGAGCCAAGCACCAAGCCTCCAAGATTGCGCTCGACAAACAGATGGCCGTTCAACGCCTTTCAGCGATTTACTTGTCCAATCACCTCCAGACACACCAAGCCACGCTTGAACAGATTTCACTAGCTGGCTGCCTGTTTCTACCGTGGCTGGCAAGGAGTCACCTGATGTGCCACCTTTACCACCGTTGCCTTCATTTGCCATCAGGCTTGGTGGCATAAATTAATGCGACAAAGGGCCCAATCTTGCAAATGATTGATGAAGCTTGTTTTTCAGCCAGGGACGATTCAGAGGAACAACAGCCAAGTGCAGCAGAGGAGGGCACTACGAATCAAAAGACATGGAGTTTCTGAGAGAGAGAGAGAGAGGGAGAGCCCGAAAGAGGAAGAAATGAAAGGAACAAAGGTCCTATTCCGCAACTCTCCATTCTTCTGAAACTTTTCTTCCGCAACTACTTGGTACTCTTCCGCAACTACTCTTCAGAAACTATTTCGCGATCTTCAGAAACTACTTCGCAAGCTTCAAAAACCTAATTGCATGCTTTAATTAGATTGCTTTAGAAAGTATTCTTCTGAACTTTTGCAATATTGTAACCAAATTGCATGAAGGAGCACTGGGTGGGTGGGTTATTGACGTACCTTGTGACGGCTACGGTATATAACGTATATATATATATATTTACGATCTGCAGATATTCTTTGTGCAGGCTTGATGTTACTTTTCGACTCTTCGTAGTTTCCGAACAGTACTTTCAAACCGTAGAGTCTCCGAAGAATAGTTTCCGAAGAACACCGCGTAGTTTCCGAAGATTAGTTTCCGAAGAGAACCGTAAAGTAGTCCGTAAAGTTTCCGAAGATTAGTTTCCGAGAAGGAAACATAAAGTTTCCAATAACCACCCTTTAGTTCCAAACTTTGACCAAATCAAAGATTGGAAGAACAAGAGATATTGCAAGAACATTTAAGATATGTAGTCACACCACAAAGGCAAGGAGGAACATGTACGCAAGGCACATCCCTATCAATGCCAAACACTACTAATGGGCTTGTGTCGTTTTCGCATTTTGGTGCCAGCTTCAGGTTACTGGGTTGTTGAGAGACTAGTGTGGAGGATAGATGTCTTACTCGAACCCCGTCCGATCTGAGCTGAAAGCAGACGATTCGTTGGTTCATTACTTGCACCCGCAGCTGGCAAGGAGCTGCCTGATGTGCCACCTTTACCACCGTTGCCTTCATTTGCCGTCAGGCTTGGTGACATTAATGCGACAAAGGGCCCAATCTTGCAAATGATTGATGAAGCTTGTTTTTCAGCCAGGGACGATTCAGAGGAACAACAGCCAAGTGCAGCAGAGGAGGGCACTACGAATCAACCACCATGGAGTTTCTTAGAGAGAGAGAGGGAGAGCCCGAGAGAGGAAGAAATGACAGATTGGAAAAATGAACAAGAGATATTGCAATGATACGTAGTCACACAACAAAGGCAAGGAGGAACATGTGCGCAAGGCACATCCCTATCAATGCCAAACCCTACTAATGGGCTTGTGTCGTTTTCGCATTTTGGTGCCAGCTTCAGGTTACTGGGTTGTTCAGAGACTAGTGTGGAGGATAGATGTCTTACTCGAACCCCGTCCGATC